ACCAACCATACTATTCTTACAATTTTTTTGTCTCTGTTTCTGTAGGAGGTTCTTGGTAGGGGAGAAATTGGTATTTCCAATATATTTTTCTTGATGTTCCTAGTGTATGGGCCTCCAGGTGCTGTCTGAAGACTGTGAATATTTTTGCTGTTTCTGCATCAACAAGCCTTACATTATGGAAAGATGATAAAATAGAACATGGAGTTCACCAAGCAATGATTTCAGGAAGAAATGTAGTTAAATTTTTTCCCAGCAGATGTGGCTGTTGGACCAGAAAAGGCTCAAGGTCAGTTCAGGTGGGTTAGGGAAAACTGTGGAGACTGGGGGCACCCCTTTTACTGCCATGGATATGCAGCACTAGGTGGTAGCTGTGCTGAGACTCCCAACAAAAAAAACCCCCAACATTCCAATGAAAATTGCAACCTCCCTCAATCATGTGATTAAGTGGTTATTGTCTGTTAGAGTTTTTAGTCATTTTTTAATAAATAGGTACAGTATTTGCCTTGCTATTGATAAATGTGAGGTTATACATTGAGTATTACATAAAATAGCACACTTGTTGATGTTGCTAAGATGCCTGTAGATGATAAAAAGTTATTAGTATTGTAACAACAAAATGTGAGTTCTGTGCCATGTTGACTGTATTATTGGGAAACCCCTGAGGTTTTCCATCACCCCACGGTTACAGGATAGATCAGTTTTCACCATTAGCTTACAATGTTAAGGTTTTTATTCAGAAGTGGCTGTGTATGCGAAATATAGGTTTCTGGATCCACAGGGAAATTTCTGGATTCCTTGTAGTTCTGTCAGACATGTTCCTAATTCCTGCTGGGTCTTGTGAGGGAAAAGACTATCTGATAGCTCTTCTGTACTGTGCTAGGGACCATCCCCTCCCTCATTAGCCCTGAAATATCAAAAATGGAAAGGTCTCCACTTAATGACATTCCCAGTTGTGCAACAAGCCTGTGGAGAAGGGAGCATGCTGCATCCATCAAGGAGAGGAGGTCATGGCTGTTCAACAGTTTTACTAGAAAACCAGTGATTTGAAAGGCTGAGGGAGGGTGAGCTGATAGTAAATAGTGCTTAATGAGGCACTTGCCTCCCAAGATGATCTTCAGGTTGTCCTGTCAGTGATTTGCACTCTGACTCTGCACATGCCTTTTTACCTACTGCCTGTGAAGCCGAGATTGCCACATGCAAGTTGTGTGAAATGACCTTCATGCCATCTCCTGCTATCACAGGCTCTGTGTCAGCCACTCATTGAGAGCTGTTATAGGCTTTCAGCACTATTATGGGGGCAGTTTCTGGATGGTACTTTCAAGATCAGGTGAGCAATAAAGCCTGGCAGCTTGTTCAGAGGGTTGTGCTCAGGGGGATCGGCACATCTGAAAGCGTTGTGACAGAAATGGGTCAGTGACCAGAGCACGAGCAGAGGGTCACAGCAGGGAGTTTGTCCTGGCTTTGCACTGCTACATGAACACTAGCCCAGACAGTATTGTATGCAGTAGTCTGAAAACATTCCTACTGAAGCTGAAAATATTTCTACTGATTTCAAGGAAATTTTTAAACAAAAATGGAATATTAATTCATTCATTCATTAAAATTCATGAGGTATGAGGTAAAAAAGTTTCCTGGATGTAATTCTTCTGAAGATGGTAGTTTTGGACCTTTGCACACTTTGAACCTTTCAATTATCTCTGCACAATATAAGATGTAAAATGAAAACTGCTTTTCTGTCCACTTCCAAGTGTTTTTTTTAAGGTCTTTATCTTGAGTTGAAAATGACAAGTCATTTTAGAAGAGCAGCATCTGGTGTGAAGCAACTGCCAATTTAATATTTCTTTAATATATTTGGATACAGATAATAAAATCTTTCTAAAGTGAAAACATTTAGTTCATATATCTTTTACCTAAAATTGAATGTTCAGTATGTGAAATACTTCTGTAGCAGTATTGCTATGATAATACAGGAAATGGTGTCTAACATTTCTAACATAAAATTTGCAATTTTATTGCACTTTGTTGTGGAACATTGAAAGTAGGAAAAATATCCTCTTCATTCTCATACTGGCAAATGATCTGATGAAATGTAAAATCAGAGCACTTTTTGCATATAAGTGAAGTATAAATTTATTCCTCTTCACTTTTTCCATAGCAGTGGTTTGAGTGAGATAAACCAGTAATGCTGGGTTTGTCACGCTGCACTTTCTTAAGTTACCAAATCAAATCAAACATTCCTAAAATGTGCAGTTATCATTATGTTTGAAGACAGCTACTTTCCTTTATTTGTTTATATCTGTATGACTTTGCCTTTGGAGGCAGTGTTCTTTAGGAAACATCATGTTGAACTGGAACCTGTGTGATATAAACTTTCAGACCAGCAGTGTATGTTCAGAGCCTGTGCTGGAGAGTTTCTGTAGACCAAGGTAGGCTGCACTTTGTCTTGTAGGATCAATCCTAAATACCTAAATTCATCTTCAGGAACCCAATTTAAGAACAAAATTTTGTAAATGTTGGATCAGTCTTGCATATGTTCCTTGGCTGTGTCAGAACCAAACTAAAGCTCAGAATCCAAATATTACTATATATTTGCTATATAAATATTTACATATTTGATATATAAGTATTTACAAATATTACTATATATTAATAAAATATTTATTTATAGACTGGGCTATATTTCTATCAGTTACATGCTGTTCTCTTGATGCACAGGGCTTTGTTTTAAATATATTTATTACCATAGATATAAACAGGAAGAAATGGCACAGGGGAGCAATTTTCCTTATCTAAGTAAAAAAAAAAAATTATATTTGTAACCTAAACATGTATTTACTAGTGCTGATGCCCTTTGGCCTTACTCCAGTGAACTTTTCTCACTGACATCAATGGGAGAAAGAGGGGCTCTGCATAGGAAACCTATGAATATTTTTTCTTCATCATCCATCCATCTATTTTGGGATGTGCTAAATGCCTGTTCTCTGTTGTAACATTAACATCAGTATGTGGAAACTCGGGGGCTAAAATAAATCAGTGAAATGCAATATACATGACTTCACATGGAACTGCATGTACATTGTTGAGCACAAGTGCCCTGTGCCCACTCTGCCATGCCAGCCCTACAGCCAGGTACCCCCGCATTGTGTCCCTCAGAAGTGGGGTGCAAGCAAGGCAGGCATGAACTGTGTGCTGCCAGCATGTCCAGAGCCTCTGTTATTCCTGAGCTACCAAAATACTTTTTGGTTGCCATTTAATGGCAGTAAAATTGATACTTTTACTTTTATGGGGATAAAAAGATATTTATTATTTCACAAAAGCATTTTTTTGACTCTTTTGCATTGTGGACTTGATTGTTAGCTGAAGGCTATGCAAATTATACTGATGATGTGTGACGTGCTGATTTTTGAGGCAATTGTCTCTGCTTAGCTTTTATAAGGGATACAGGCTTCCAACTAACCTGGGCCATTTTTCCAATCTTAGTAGGGACCCTCCTGATTTATGACAGTATGAATTAGCACATTCTCAAATTAGTTTGATTTTTATTTTTAATGGAAAAATGAAAGGGGTAAGCTCAATCTTTACAGTCTGGAGTGTTTTCTGCCCACAGTGAATCAGTGGGAGACCTTTACAAAGTTGGACTTCGATGAAGATGCTGATTGGCCAGTCCTGCCTCAGAGTCTCCTCTGATCCATGGGAGCCTGGGCTGCTCCACAGAATGGTCCTGTGCCTTGGCACTGATTTATCATCCACCATTACCCCAAGCTCATGGATGAGAAAGGAATACCCATGGCTGCTACCATTCCTGCCCCTCTGGCTTCAGGTAAGTCACCAAGCTTGGAGCATGACTACCCCAGGAAGGAGGAGAAGCAACTGCATTGCTCTGCTCAACACATGGCAGCTTGCTCCTCTCCTCTCCACAGAACATTGATCTTCAAGGCCATACATGATAAAAGGAGTGGGAGACATTCCCTGGAATTAGCTGTTCCCTCTTTCTTTTTTCTGATTAAGGTAAGAGCTGCACAAATTCCCTCTATAATAATCACCTAACAGAGAATACAATGACTAGTCTGTCATCAAAGTATTTAAGGATGATGACGATACCTAGATTGGTTTTCAGTGTGTTTTTTGTTTTTATTTTACTGTGATGTTTCTACAAAATCCATAAAGCATAGGGATGTGATAAGAAACAGGTTGTAGTTGCTGGTTATTCTTGTCCAGATGCACAGAAATGCCCTGATTGTTTCTTTCCAATGACAACCAGCTCAGGGCTTAACATTTTTCAGTTGCACAGCCAACTTTCAAGGTTACACATAGATACTGAATGAAACAGAGCCCACTGGTTATTTTTAGAGAGGCTCTAAACAAGAAGCAAATCCCTGGAGCAGTGCTGCCAGAGATGCATAAAGTTCAAATCCAAATTAAAACTGCCTATCTTTGGCCTACATTCCAACTTGAACTTGAGGAAAACTGTGATCTCTAACTTGAACTTTATGACAAAAACTCCTTTGCAATTAGTTTCTAATACCTGGGAATACATGAACTTGGTATCAACACTTGAAAAATAGAACTTGAATGAAAAATGTGAACACTTGTCCAAAAATGTAGTACATTTTTGTGAGTTTTGTATGGTTTCAGTAGCTACACTGGAATTTGGAGAATCTAATTTTTTGTGATTCTTAGTTTCAACACATCTTTGTAAGATCAAGTCCTACAATATAATTGTAAATTTTGAGGGCAGGAGGAGAAACATGCTTATTTATTGATTCCTCTAATAATGACCTGTGATGTTTAGGTTTAGCAGTGACCACAACAGAATATGAGGAAAGGAGACCCTTTGACAGCAGCATATTTATGCAAAGGAGTGCAACTGAAGCATGTTCTTGATTTCTTTGCTGAATCAGAACCTGTATCTTCTTCCTGCCAAGGCAGAGATCTAACACCACTCCTAAATGCGCTAGTAATTCTAGAAGCCCTAACGAAAGTCAAGATAACACCACAGATTTTATAAATAAGGGTCTTTATTTAGAATACTGTTGAAAACATTCTTGGCAACCACATCGTATAAATATATAAAGTTAAAGTTTGACACAACAAACCAAGCAATATTAAATATTTTTAAAATTTTTCCCCTTTTTAAATTTTTGGCTTTTTCTTTTATTTATTTATTTATTTTACTAATTTTTAATTTTTTTTTCCTTTTTTTTCCTTTTTTTTTTTTTTTTGGAAAGCAACTCTTATTTACAATTATACAAAAGTTTTATAAAAAATGGTCCACAACCTTATTTTGGCCAGAACAGGAGTAATAGGAAGGATCTGTTATGCCATTACTGCTGTAGATTTCTATTTTCCTCCACATTAATGAGCCAGCTTCCTATTTCCCACAGCCCAGATTAAATATTGGCCATTTCATGGTATACAATTTTATCTCTAGATGTATTAAATAACTTTAGTTTAACAACCAATAAATAACTATGTGTACTTTGAAGTGATACAGGTTTGCAAAGTTAGATAGTTGAAGGAATTTTCAGTGATATTTTAGAATTGGAACAAGTCTTAAGAAGTCTTTTCAACCTTAGAAGGCAGGTCTTGAGCAAGGCCAAACAGAGCAAATTGTTTTTGGTGCAGTCCAGCTGGAGGGGTCCTTATAGCACTTGGTAGATTGGGTTGCTGCTGCTGTTATCCTGGGGGAGTGGGGTGCAGTTGGTGGGGGAAGGAATTTGGGCTCCACCATCACTCAGGCTCACTCCTTCTGGAGGGGAACAGGGACTCCCTTCAGTAACAGTTTCCACCGCAGGCAGTATAGGGCATGTGGAATTATCTGTGGAAATCCTCTCTACAATGCTTGAGAGGCAATCGAGACTGGAAACAACAGAACTCTTCCCATGCTTTGGATCTAAAAAACAGACAAAAAGGTGCTCAGATTATCCAGTGGGTAATTAACATCAGTGGGCACTATACATTTGTGGGCATGTGAAGACTCAGAGGAAATGAGTATTGGTGAAGGACACCAATTATCAGAAAACAGATTGTAATTTCAAAATGGAAGAGAGGTCCAACCACAGTGTGCTGCTCTGGGGAAAGGGAGGATCTAAGGCTTCACTGAGTCCATAGAAAGGGAAGAGCAGATTTGAAATCAGTCATAAATTACTCCAATTTGGATCAATGATAGAGTAAGAAGTCTTCATGTAGAATATGGATAATGCTGAAATTAGTTGCAGAGAATAACATACTTCTATCCAACTGTTAGATTTGCAAAATGGGAAATACAGATATAACACATCCCCATATTTGCAAATACACCTAGAAGAAATGCAGTGCCTCTACCAGCAACAGTGGCTTGCTGGCTGGAAAGGCAGGTTCCTCCCTCAGCCCAGCTGGACAGGGAGCAGGCACAGGAAAGCTGCTGCAGTGCCTGCCTCTGTTTCGGTGTTTCACACCGCCCTTAGGGCATGTACTCACCATTTGGGGACTCTGTGTAGTAGCTGCTGTCATAGCTGTTCCTTCTGCGAGAGCTGCAGGGAGGCCCGCTGTACTCCATCTGGGAAGGAGAGAAATCCAAATGAGGTCAGACTTACCCAAATCCCAGGAACCATCTAATTTCATATTTCAGGCTCTGGCCATCATTCCAGTCCTGTCTGGAATGCCATTAAGTTGTAGATTCTCTGAGTAAGGAAAAACATGGCTAGAAGGGGGTCCACCCCAGGATATTTTATGTGGCACAGCTGTTCCACAGGAAGGTTATCACCATTGCATTGAATACTGCAGCTTTACAGATGAGATGAGGCTTTCCAGAATTCTGATCAGATACAGCCCTTCATGTATCTTTAGTTTACAACAGAGAGATCTGAGTGTCCTGAAACCTATGTGAAAAGAGAATTACGTCTTTTTAATTTAGTTTTTAAAGATTTTTCTAAACATGAATTCCTCTTTAAAAGCCTTTGTCTACCCTGTTCCTTTGTATTTCCTTCAGTTTCTCTTCCCATTTCCATTTCATATAGAAAGTGCTCTATGAAATTGACTAATGCATTTTTTTCCCAATACTTTAATCCACAATGAAATTCCTCTATTAAAAGAGGTTGTATCTTGAAGAGGAATAATTTGTGTAAATCTCTCCAATGTGTTAAGTCCCTCATAATCACAGATACTCAACTCAGTAGTGACTATCCCCACCAGAGCACAAAACGCAATCTCTGGTCTGAAAGGGCAGTTCATGGCCTATCCAGAGAGCTGTCCTGGACTCTGGTCACCACATCCTACCAGCCCAGAGTCACACCAGAGGCTGAACCTACAGCCCCAGCCAAAAGATGTGCAGATGAGACACCCACTCTGGCACCCACCCTTCTTCTCCCACGCCCATAATGTACAATCAAGACTAAAAGCCTGGATTCTCCTTCCTATTGCTTGTAAATATCTATGGAGGGGATGAAGTGAGAGAGAAGAGAAATGGAGAATCTTTTTCTTAAGGGTCCAGAAAAATAACTCTTGTTGCTTAGACACTCCTCCTGTTGTAATGATGAATGGCAGAAAACAAACCCCAGACTCTTACCAGTTCCTGTGTAACTACCATGTCCTAGGGGGCCCTTGCTCTTTGCTGTCCTTAGAGGATTCAAAGGTAATGATACAGCAGAAGATGGAAACAGAGATGCCTCGGGAACTACGGGATCACAAGCAATACCCCCAGGGTGCCCATTCCCAGCAGCTTTCCAAAGTTCTCCCCCAAGCAGCTTTTCCCTGGCTCCTCCAGGACATGGGGAACCTGCCTAACTTCTTATCCCAGGGAACAAAATGTGCATGAGATTCTTCTTTCCCAAAGATCCTGTCATGTGGGGACCCCACCTCCCTTCGCTGCGAGTGCTCAAGGCATGAAAAAGGACTTTGTCTTCTGCCTGGGGAGGTACAGAAGGCAGCTGCTATAGGAAGGGCAGGTGACTTGCCCTGCTCAGGTTTGGACCAACAGCGTCCAGGGCACCTTGGTGGCAGGGAGTCCTCCCTGGGGCACTCACCATGCCATCGGAGCAGTTGGAGCGGGGGCTGGAGGCGTCCGACTCCCCGCTGTAGTGCTCCAGCACGGGGTAATAAGCATCCTCCTGCTCCCGCAGCAGGGCCTGCAGGCTCTCGATGTAGCGGATGGCGTTGCGCAGGATCTCCACCTTGGGCAGGCGCTGGTTGGGGTTGGTGGAGGTGCAGCGCTTGAGGGTCTCGAAGGCCTCGTTGACCTTGCTGAGCCGCCGGCGCTCCCTCATGGTGGCGGCCTTACGGCGGTCGGCGTTGGTGGTCTTCCTCTTGCACGCCTTGCAGGCCCACAGCAGGCAGCGGCCAGCCTGGTGGTGCCCGCTGGGCGCCCGGACGTGCTCCTCCTCGTGCCCGTGGTGGTGCCCGTGGTGGTGCGGGTGCTCCTCGGGCTTCAGCAGACCCCCGACGTGCACCAGCCGGGGATCCAGGTCCTCAAAGAAATGCATGTCCGACGTGTTGAAGCACGGGTCGTCGTAGAAGTCATCGGCGGCTGTGAAGGAGCAGAGGGAGCCCTCCGTCATCTCCATGGGGCCAAGTAAGTCCATGGGGGCGGCAGAGGGGACAGCGGCCAGGCCAGAAGGGACACGAGGGGCTCAGTCGGAGGGGCCTTCCACCGGGCTGCTCTGCGGCCGGGCGGGTGCGGAGCCGAGACTCTCGCAGCCTCTGCCAGGCGACGCCACCAGCGCTGGCTGCTGCCCCGACCCCTCCGCAGCCGCGCCGGTCAGGGAGCGCCACTCGGGGCCGTATTTATGGCCGAGCCCCCCGGCGCGGCGGGTCGGGACGGGCGGGGCGGGTCGGGGGGCGCGGCCGGGCGGGTCGGGGGCCGGGACGGCGGGGGTGGGGGGGTGCGGTGTCCCGCTGGGGCAGGGGCAGCGGCAGCCCGGGCTCTCGGATGCGCGCAGGGCTACATTTCCCCCGGGTTTTTTTTTCTTTTTTTTTCCTTCCTCAGCAGCCCGCCCTGCCGCCGCGCCAGGGAGAGCAGCCGCCCCGATGCCCGAAGGTGCCGGGTGCCGCTCGCCCGGGGGGACGCACCGAACACACCGGTGACGGCTCCGCTGGTTCCTCACAGGGAAAAAGCCCCCAACCCCTGGGCAGGTCTGTCCGCGGCTCCACGGCCACAAGGGTAATTACCGCGGGGGCGTTCGTGGGGGTGGGCGGCTTCAGGGGACACCGCGGGCAGCGGGGACACCGCGGGGACACCGAGGAGAGGCGGGAGGCGCGGGGCAGAGGGGACGCGGGGACACCGGGGAGCGGCGGGATGGGCAGGTGGCGGCCGCCCGGTGGCGCTGCGGGCCCGTCCCAGCGGGAAGCGCCGCTGTGGCCGCGGTGCGCCAGCCTTCCTTCCCTCGGGAACCCCTGCGAACGCTGTCATTCCGGGTTCCTCTTCCAGCTCTGCTCGCCTTCGCTCGGAAGCCTTGGGAGAGATGGATCTCAGGCCGTGCCGTGGCGTTGCAGTTGGGACGGCTCGCGAGATAAGGATTATATTATAGCAGCGGGAGAGTTTGGAGCTTGGGGAAATGGCATCCCGTTTTGGTAACGTCTGTCAAGGGTGACAGAGTTTTTACTCTGTTTTTTTCAGTATCATTTGAGACGAGAAATTAGGTTCTTCTCAGAGGAATTCAGTAATTCAATTATGTGATTTCAATGACTTAATGATTAAAATAGTAGTGCGTATATTTAATGTCCCAAAAGCTAAAAATAATTTCTGTTCTCTAGTTATAAATGTTGGCGAAATTTCAGCTCATTCAAAATCAGCAGCAAAGCTCTGTTTTCAGTGGGACAAGGGGCTGACTGACAGAATCGCAAAAGGTAAAAAAACATCCATCAATGATCAATTCCCAGTCCCTGTGCCTACGACTTCTCAGATGGACTGTCATGATGGTGGCTTCTTTGTTGTTACACGATTTGGTTTTTTGGCAAAAATTCCTAAGCTGCGCTCCCCATTTTCTACTTACCTAAATATCTCTGAGTACAGACTAAGATAAGAACTATAAGTGGCATTCTGTCAGTATCTCTAAAAGATAAAAGTTTTATTTAAAGATAAAACTGTATGTAGAAATTCATTCTTTCAAGGTACCCAATGCTAAAAAGCAATATGTCCCAAGGAGGGAGATCAGCTACTGGCCACCCCTACACATTTAGAAATGTATCTCCCAGCTGCTTCTGAAAGGCAGAGTGACAATTTTGTGGAGACATTTCAGTGTTATTACAGATGTTCTTTGATCTAGAAGCAATAAAGATAGTTGGTTTTAAATCTTTATTGAACAGCTAACAAAGTAAAAGTAATTTGTATTGAAAATAGTGCAAGGTATACAATAATGTAAAATACATGTTAAATGAGAAAGAGTTTTATGCTGTAACAACTGAACATATAAAATGGGATATGAAGGCTTTGTGCTGGCAGTGTGACCCCCTCAAGACACTTAAACTCTCTCTAGACCATTGGCTTAATTTTTGGAAAAATGTAATTTTACCTAAAATTTAGTCAGTATTATAGCCTATTCTGCCTTTGTGTGTTTGTAGCTTATATGTGACCCCAGGAAAAGACACTCTGGGACTTGAGTGAGTAGGGATTACCTTGGGCAAAGTGGTAACAAACAGTGGGGCTTGGACAAAGCCCCACTCTTTGGCAGTTGTTGGCAACTACAGAGAACTTGCCAACAATTGCCCATGAATGTGGGCTCAAGTGGATGAGTTCCTTCAAGTGAAAAGGTCACGAGAAGGCTGTGACCACCAAGTGAATTCCACACAGTAGTCTTTCAGTGAAAGTGCCCTTGAGGACACCTTCCTTTGGGTATGGACATGCTGGTCTCCAGACATCCCATCCAATCCTAACAATTACGATTCTATGATTCCCTACTGGTGCCACCACTAACATCTACTTTCCAGTGCAATTCCCAAAGGCATGTTTGTCTAGAAAGATGTTGCGATGTACAGTGAGGCCTGAAAAAAAACAAACGTTCCTGCAAAGAACAAACCCTGAGATGCTCTTCTCAGTTTTGTGTGGCCACAGTGGAGAGGATGAAGGACAGAACAATCTTCACTTGGAGATTTTCAAGGGCATTCCTCACTCTGAGAGCAGGCAACCATAGGTAGTGTTTATGGCAAGCATTTAAAAGGATTCCATTGTTAAACCTCTTTGAAAGCCTCTGGGGCTGTAATCATAATTTCTGTTAAGATTAGGTCTCTCCTGATCTTCCAGTTTGGATGCTATGTTTAGAGTACTGGTACTGTGCTAGCTATTCAGAGCTTTCCCAGGTTGTGTGGATTGTTTGGGCACTGCTTTGGTAGTACAGATACAGAGAGTGTGGCTCAACAAGCATTCAGCAGAGAATTTGTAAAGTTTCTATAAGAGCTGTTTCCCTTAACCTATTCTACATTCATCCTTGATATATTATTTTTCAGGATGTGATTGAAAAGGAAGCCGGGAAGGCAGAAGTAGATTGTACTTCCTACATTGAAAAACACGGATAGATTCATCCTGTACACAACTGACAGGTATTGTTAAATCTGAGACCATATTCACACGTATGTATGCCCTCTCAGCAGAAGCAGCATGTGCACAAGAAGAGCTTATTATCTGCAGTAATTGATTGATTTATCTTTTCTTTTTTGGAGGATAGAGGCTGGGGAAACAGCTGATTTTGAGTTTATCTGGAATTAACAGAATTGTCTTTAGAGGCAAAGGCCCAGAACGTGTTCTGGCAAAGGAAAAGGGAGAGAAAAAGACTTAAATCCTCAGAGTATGTGGATATATTTGGTTAGAAGATGAGAACATGAGAAGTCTGAGAAACAGACATGGCACTACTTCATGGAAAAATAAGAGGCAAGTAAGTCGAGCTCTGAAAAATTTATTAGTTGTGTTCTTTGTTATGTTGGACTTTGTTAAATGCTGTAAACCATGTAAACCAAGCTGTAACTACATTTCAGGGCATCAGCTTTTAAAAGGTGAAGATTGTTGTACAAGTAGGTCAAACATTAGTAGTAGTACATGAAGTAGTTTTATACAGCACTAGTTTAGAATTCAGCTAGTAGCTTTGCTCTGTTCACACTTAGTGAGCTGTATTTTAACACTGAGAGGGATGGATTCCATTGCTCTTATTCATGTTGAGTTGCAGTCAGTGGAACTAATTGTTGAATAAGGTATGCTCAGCATGAGGATGGGTGATGGAATCTAGCCCAGATGGAAATATCTTTTAGACTCCTGCTGTATTAGAGATCAGCAATCTCAACAAAGGCAAATCTAGCATGATTTTAAAAGTGCTTTGAGCCATTCCTGTGGCACTTGGCAGTATTTTTATGGATGAATACAGAAGTTGTTTTAAAGTAGTTGTGGTCGCCATCCCCACCCCAAAGCTGGACCACATTCACAGAAAAGATTGGGAAAACATCTGTATTGATTACATTGATTTCTATCCCATGTTACAACACCAACAGAAGGTGGGCTTTGCAGAAATTGCTACTTAATTGCTACTGTAGCTCTATCAGAGTTTACTAAAAATGTTTCATTATGTAGTGCTTTTAGAGTAATGCAGTTTCCGGCATTTCTTTTCACTCTGTCATACTCTTCCATCATGCACAACTTCCTCAGATGCAAAAATATACTGGCACAGTTTTGTACGCATATACAAAATCTCTTGGAGAAGAATATGAGCATGCCTGGGTGGTGAATTGAGGAATACACTGGAGATGCAGACATGGAACTGAATTTATTTTTAAGTAAAACAGTAGTATCAGCTAAAGTATTACACAAAAGCGTAAGGCAATCTTCCAATGAATCAAATCCCAACTGCAGAAAAGATGTATATAATGACAAAAAATCCCTAACTGCAGGCAGCTGATCTGGCCAGTTGCTCTTCTTAGGTGACCTTGGGAGCCAGGCTGCAGAATGAGGCACTCTGGAAGGGGACTAATGTGAGGAATTTGGACACCTCTGCACTTGAACCAAGCTCACTAACACTGCCCTAACTGAAATGCAAAACTAATGAGTAGCCATTCTCTCTGATGAAATTCTAGTTAAGTGTGCTGTTTTTTCACTAAGATCTCATGCCCCTTCTTGGGACCAAATAGGGAATATAAGAAGTAGCAGGAGTGCCACAGTAATACCTTTAGTGAGCTAGCTGAGACAGGGCTCTGTATCATAATTAAAGCAATCATCCTGTGTTAAGTCTGGACAAAGCTACTGTCTCTGGTGACACTTGCAAAATATGCCCTAGAACCTCTAAAGTTCTCATCTAATAAGAACTCCTAATTCCTCTCTCATCTGTTTTCTGAGGATGAGAAAAGGCAGCTAGGCAGTAACTATAAAGAAATCAGCACATTTTCTTATTCCCACTCTTGAGGAAATGTTTGTATCCTTCATCCTGAAGTATACCACCAGAAATAGCTGATCAGTAATTCATTAGACTACTTATTTAAATTGCTACTGTGATAGAAATAAGACAAAAAACCCATTGTTTTTGAACAAGTATTTTTAAAAAGTTCATTATTTTACTATACTTGTTAGTAATTTAAAATACCGAATAGTAAAATAAAATATTCAGTAATATAAAACTAGTATTTGGATTTTCTGCCATGTAAAAGTTTCCTTGCACTAAAGGTACAGTGATTTCTTTTTTATTTGTTTTAATAAAATGTATATATATTCATAAAATAATTTGCACTAACTGATCCTATTAATCATTTAAGAGAGAGGAGAAGCTTAAGAACTTTTGGCTTCTATGAAGAATTGCATAGATAAATGTGGCAATCTAGCTGGCAACCTTGCTATCATTTAAAGCTAATAGTGGTACAGGCTAGATTTTGAGCTGTGACTCAGCAAAGGATGAGGGAATGGGGTGTAAAGCAGGAGGAGGGATGGAGCATCATGTCTCCTGAGTTTTGGTCCCAGCTTCACCCTCGGGACAGGTTTGCCTGAGGAACTGCCCTGTAGCTGCAGCAGCCTGAGCATTAAAGGCCCTCCCTACCCTGCTTCACCTTTGCTCCTGTGCCATTGTTACACTGTGGCAGCATCGTGGTGCAGTGTATGGTTGCATATATTGGCCCTATGCCATTTCTGTGCTGGGAGCATTCTCTCTGGGGTCGCTTCAGACCTTCTGTAGCTCCTGTGCACTGCTGGAGAGGTGGGCAGGGGCTGCAGTGATCACTGGACTCTGGCTCTATGCTGGTTCTGAACTCTTTTTGCAGCCGGTCCATAAAGTAATCCCCAAGACTATTCTTGCCATCCTGGGAACAGTCAAGCCTGCGAGCATTGGTCAGCAGATCTCCCATCAGCTTGATCTTCTGGATTTTGGGCCCAATAAATTGTTTCTTGATAGTGCTTGCACTATGAGGGTCTGCATTTTCAACACTCAGGGCATAAAGCTCTTCAAAATATCGTAGCATAGTTTTCCATTGTACCATTGCTAGTTCCAGGGCTTTCATCAGACCGACTGCATAATCACAGTTTGGTTTCTGAAAACAAAGACAGAATTGTATTTACTCAAAAGAACAGCTCGTGTATCTGTATTCATCAATGGATTCCTGCAACTTAACCTAGTGCTCTAAAAAAATTGTACTAGGGTTTTGCAACAGCTGCTTCCAGTTTGGAGCATCTATTGTTTTTTTCAGGCTGTAAACACAAGTGGCAGAACCCAAGCACTTCTTCAAGGAACAGATTTACATAGCAGCAGCTATGCCTAAAGACGGTTCTTACACCAGGAAACCCAATCATAGAATGGTTGGGTTGGAAGGGACCTTAAAATCATCTTTTCCCCACCCTCTGCCATATTCCACTAGACCAGGCTGCTCAAAGGCCCATCAAACCTGGCCTTGAATACTCCCAGTAACGGGGGATCCTCTACAACTCCGGGCATTTTTTCTAGTGTCTCACCACCCTCACAGAACGAGGGACTTCCTAGTATCTAGCCTAAATCTGCCCTCTTTCAGTTAAAAATTGTAATCCCTCATCTTAACACTGCATTCCCTGACAAAGAGTCCTTCTCCCTATTTCCTGTAGTCCCCTTTAAGTACTGGAAGTCCTAAGCTCCTCTATGCAAACTGAGTATTAAGAAAAGTTTTTGTAATAGCCTTTTTACTTTCTACAGCTTAACTGCTATGATGGACCAAAGAAGAGCGTTCTGTATTAACGAATTTGGTAAAGGAGAATCAGCCTCTTGGTCTTAAATAAGGTAGGTTATTTTTTTCCTGAAAACTTTTGAGTTATTCCTTTGCACTTGTGCAAGCCTAAGTTAGATCTTGGTTCAAATTCTGTCATGAGCTGTACTTTAGGAAATCAACTACTGCCCCAAACTGGATGGTTCTCCTTCCTTCTTAGGTGCTAGTCATGTCTAAGCTTCCACATAGGTTCAGTGTGAAGGAGACAAGTGAGCTGTTTCAGCACAATTAAAGGAATCATAATCCATTACAGCATACTGGAAATAGCAGTATCCAGCTGAGTGAAAGAAAAGGGGAAAACTGTCCATATTCTTTTGGGCTGGAAGGCAACACCATAGAGTTAGGACTCCATGTCTGACAGTTTCTAGGCATCACAATGAAGAACAAAACTTTGTACACAAGAATGCCGGATAAATTATATCTGGAAATCTAATAGTGGGTGATTGCAGAGATCTGAAGTACCAACAGTATAATTCAGTAAGTTAAACAGATCACAGCTGCTTGAAAATTTGTTGACTACTACCCACCTGGATGGTTTTAGAGCAGTAATGGCCTCCTCTTTCCTGCTGATACTTCATTAACGCCTCTGCGGCTTTTCTCTCTTCCAGAGCTTGATGCAGGAAGAACTTAGAAATATTTGGTAGAGCCACATGTGACTGATCAAAATATTCACCCTAAGCACACAAAACAAGACTGTTAAGATTTGCCAGATATGGGACTCACCTGCAGCAGAATGTGGCTTAACAGAACTTGGGAGACCCTTCCAATGGAAGATGTTTTGTTCACAAAGCACGATCACTTTGGAGACCTTTATGCAATTTCTGCAATAAATGAAGTGAGTACTTAGAGTATAAAATGAAAAATCTATACTTCTACTAGAACTCCTTATAGCCTTTAATATCCATCTGGCAACTGTAGTACTGATGTTACTCTTGCAGTAGCAGTTAAGAGATCTTAAGAATATTTTATTTATGAATGGTTAGTATGTGTGTTTTGTGGAAGGTTTTTGTTTTGCTTTTTAAGCATACTCCAGAACAGAGAACATAAAATTTATCCCTGCAGGCCTGCATTCCAGTCAAAAGTTAGCTTTCAAAGTTATGAGAAAGATGAGGCAAACACCAAAAAGAGAACAAGCGTAACATTGCACATGTTTATCAGCTTTATTATGGACAATGGTAGTCCAAAATAATGGATACTGCTACTGAACTATACACCTTCAATATTAGATGTTACTAATAAATAGATGCCTGGGAAGGCATCTCAGGAAGAACATAAATCTGTTGGACCGAGTCCAGAGGAGGAACAGAAAGTTATCAGAGGGATGGAGCACCTTTCCTGTGAGGAAAGGCTGAGAGAATTGGGTTTGTTCAGCCTGGAAAAGAGAAGGCTCTGGTGACCTAACTGTGTCCTTCCAGTACCTGATGGGAGCCTATAAGAAAGATGGAGAGGGACTTTTTACAAGAGCATGCACTGACAGGACAAGGGGGAATGGCTTAAAACTGAAAGAGCAGATTTGCATTAGGTATTTGGAAAAAACTCTTTGCTGTGATGGTGAGATACCAGAACAGGTTGCCCAGAGAAGCCGTGGATGTCCCATCTGAAAGTGTTCAAAGCCAAGCTGGCTTTGAGCAGCCTGGTCTTGGGAAAGGTGTCCCTGCACATGGCAGGGGGTTTGGAACCCGATGATCTTTAAGGTCCTTTCCAACTCAGGCCATTCTATAATTTCAGAAATATTACAACCCTAAATCCTCTGCTGGCCTTGTTCTGTTCTGTATGGGAAAGTAACAACTTAAACCACTGCATATTTAACCATGCTAACAGATCTAATAGCTTTTATATTTAGAATATTTTATCCATGGTATGGCTGTCTCATAAAGAGGAGTATTACATGCAGGTAGCAAAGGAGAGCCAGCAGGGTTACACTGATTCTGCATAGCTCTGATGGTGAGGAGAATGAGAGGCAGCAGCTGGGGCTGTGCCAAGAACCAAACTTAGGGAGCTACAGCATCTTGATCTGCTGGTATCCTGACCATGAGTGTGCAACACAGCACAGCTTCTGTCCCTGGACATGAGTGTGCAACACAGCAGAGCTTCTGTCCCTGGACATGAGTGTGCAACACAGCACAGCTTCTGTCCCTTGGACATGCTCTGCACCAGAGTACACATAACTGCACATCGAGCTGTTGGCCTGTAGCCTGCCTAGGAGGGGCAAGCAACAAGTATGTGCAATTCCTAAGTTCTTCTGCTTCTGATTGTCTTCCCTGCTTTCCCCTATTACTCTGCTTAAATAGGAAATACTTTAATTTCACCTGTGTACAGAAAGAAAATGAAGACATGTTAAGCACACAAGTTTTTTCTCTTATATTTTTAGGGCCTTCTTAGGACAACCTAAAGCTGTGACACACATAGACGCACACAACCGTAAACCATTGAAGAGAAAGCACATACTGGAATATTTTATTAAGAACATTCATTGCTTTATTTGCAGAATCCTTTCCTCAAGTCACTCATTCCTGTTTCTGTTGACAGCACAGCCAAGATTGTATTTTATAAGCAGTTCCTCGGTGCAAGTATGCAGCACAACTTCAAGTGGAGTTCAAGTTAACACATCTGCTTAACTGTTAAGGTAAATCTTTTATGTCAATCATTCACTATTTAGGATGTTCACATTTCTAGGTTTGATTTATCCACAGTCAATTTCTAACTGAGTCTTCTCCATCCTATCTAGCTGCTAATCACTACAACTTTTTTCTTCCACAGGCTTAACATGTTTTACTGCATACTTAAATTTTCATTGAACTTATACGTGATACCAAACTCAAATGAAAGATCTTGGGAATATACTGAATATATTTTGTGTTGCTTCCCTGTGGATGCTTGCCATCAGAAGGTATGGCATTGATAATTTTGATTTTTTAATTTTAACATCTCTGTTAAGTTATATGTTCGCCTTAACACTTGATAATGTAGCCAGATGGAATTCTGGCATGAATTTGGCATGGTATCCGTGATACCTTTTATGATTTCACGTCCAAAGTTCATGCCTGTGGAGCAAGAAACCCTAAGCCATCCTCAACGTTCACAGACTATAGTTAACCACACGCAGCTATTAAGTTTGGGGGAAAGCCCACTCAAGCGTTATACTTCAAAGCTGTTAGCATCCCGTCTTCCTGTCCCTTTTCCCCAGGCAAAAGGCCCTCTGTGAATTACCCAAACCACACGAGCGCTCGTTTCATAGCCCGCGCGTTTCGGACCTTCCTCCTTGTTTTCGCGGCGCGGCTTTGGCAGGAGCGCTGCCGGCGGCGGGTCGGGGAGCCCGGAGAGCCTCCAGACCCCCTGGCTCAGGACACAGCACCGCTGTGCCGTCCCTGCCCGACTCTAAACCCTCCTCAGCCGGGCTCCGGCACCTCCACCCCGCCCCGCCGGTGGCTGCCGGCGCAGGGCGATGGGGGCACACGCACCCGCCGTGCCCTCCCGCGGCCGTGCGCGGCCCGCCGCCTTACCAGCGCCTGCAGGCAGTAGTGCAGCTCCAGCTGGGCGCCGGTGAGGCCGCAGAGCGCCTCCTCCACGGCGGGCGGGAAGCCGTGGCGGACGCGGCTGCCGGGCAGCGGGCGGTGCGCGGGGCAGGCGGGCAGCGTCACCCGCGGCCGCTTGGAGCGCGGCTCGGCCATGGCCGGCGCCGCCATGGGGCCGCCGCGCCGCCGCCGCGCCGCCTGATATAGCCGGGCACCTGGGACACACCTTGCGCTGCCGCCCGCCCTCCGAGCGAGGAGGAGGAGGAGGATGAGTGTGTGCTGATGCGGGGGGGCCGGCGGGGACCGCCATGGCCGGGCAGGCGCGGCGGAGCTCGGACAGCTCCGAGCATGCCGGGCAGCCCGCGGGTGCCGGCAAACAGCGTGAATAATGCATGGCTGACGTAAAATATTTACCTTAACAGCTAAGTAGATGTGTTAACTTGGGCTCCGCTTGAAGTTGTGCCGCACACTTGTGCTGAAGAAGTGGTTATAAAACATTGAATCTTGACTATGAGTGACTTGAGGAAAAGGATTCTGCTATGACTCCTCTTAATAAAACGTTCCAGCATGTACTTTCTCTTCAGTGGTTCGTGATTACACGTGTACATGTGTCACAGGTTTGGGGTATCCCAAGATGGTCCTACATACATAAGACAAAAACATAAACTTGTGTATTTTACATGTCTTCATTTTCTTTCCAAACAGAGCAACACAGCCGAAGTGAAAGTATTTCCTATTTAAGCAGGGTAGTAGAGGAAAGCAGGGAAGACAATCAGAAGCAGAAGAACTTAGGAATTGCACATACTTGTTGCTTGCCCCTCCTAGGCAGGCTACAGGCCAACAGCTCGATGTGCAGTTATGTGTACTCTGGTGCAGAGCACGTCAAAGGAACAGAAGCTGTGCTGTGTTGCCCACTCATGTCCAGGGACAGAAGCTGTGCTGTGTTGCCCACTCATGTCCAGGGACAGAAGCTGTGCTGTGTTGCCCACTCATGTCCAGGGACAGAAGCTGTGCTGTGTTGCACACTCATGTCCAGGGACAGAAGCTGTGCTGTGTTGCACACTCATGTCCAGGGACAGAAGCTGTGCTGTGTTGCACACTCATGTCCAGGGACAGAAGCTGTGCTGTGTTGCACACTCATGGTCAGGGTACCAGCAGATCAAGATGCTGTAGCTCCCTCAGTTTGTTTCTTGGCATAGTCCCAGCTGCTGCCTCTCATTTTCTTTGACATCAGAGCTGTGCAGAGACAGTGTAACCTGCTGGCGCTTCTTTGCTTCCTGTTTCTAATATAGTGTCTTTATGGAACAGCAATACTGTGGATAAAACTTCTAATATAAGAGCTGAGCCCTTTTCCAGGCAGTCACATACAGTACCTCTGGTTCCAGCAGCAGCCTCTGAAAGTATGACCGGGCTGGGCTGAGGCTGGAGTGGTTGGTGAGAACATCTAAGCAGAGGCAATCCTGAGGAGGGAGTGAGCTCTGAAAAGTCCTGGGAATTTAGCAGTGTGTGTATATGTCTTGGCTACAGGGTATATTCTTTAAGTTTTTTGGTTTAGTGCAAAAAATGTTGGCGCTGAACTGGTCCTACCTATGTTTGTTAAAATATCTTATTTTAGTATTTTAGTAGCCAGTAACCCTCAGCATGTACAGTAACTTCAAAATACATTCATTTTTACATTTTTCGTTTTGCGTACATTTCTTTTACTTTAATAGATTCACACCAGTGGAGAGGAAATATGAATAATCTCAACACCCTTCGAAATCAATAATTTTCTCTTCAGTGACTTTGTTTAGTAAGCTCAATGTTACGTGCTGTTTTGTGGAATATTTTTCTAGCAGATCACTCCCCCACCAACCCAGGATCCTAAGGGCGGAATCGTTTTCTGTTGCCTGTTTTAATTGTTATTGGATCTGACTGCCTAGAGCCCAGCATGCATCATCTGATAATAGTCACATAGAGATATGAGAACATTGCTCATGAGAACTTAAATAATTCTTGTTCAGTGCCTCTATCTCATATGCTACTCAGCCCTCTTTCTTTGCTGTAATTAGCCATTTTAGTTCTGATTCTTCATGTTTTAGTTAAATTAGAAGCTTCATTTAAAAATATCAAACAGCATTTAAGCATTTGGGTAAAATTTCATGTGAGTAATATAACTGTAATATTTGCAAGGCTAAAATTAGTACCCAAAGTCATTAAATGCCAGTATATTGACAAGACACTTGAACAATGTATGACCTTATTCTGAAGCTCTCAGCAGTCATCCTCTTCTTCACTGTAGCACTAGGGACTTTTGCTGGAAGGACATACCTCTATCAGCTACCTTTTAGCTCCTTCCATTCCAATTGTCCATGTTTTGGCCTGTAAAGTAGTTGCTAGTGTTTTATTGTTCCAGAATAATACCTTGATTCCCTCAGAGGAGGAGGAAGAGGAGCAAGTGTGATGCCTCTCTGTGTGTATGGATTGACATCCCAACCTAAATAAATACTTGATTGAATAACTTGAAGTGTAGAATAGCAATAGCAAACAAAATAGCCAGTGTCCCCATGGAAAAGTCTATATTTGTATTTAGTTAATTGAGCATTTATTATGGTAATTTCTGAGCATATCATCTCATAGAGTTTTGTCTCTGCATTAATGGGCTTCGGAGCCTTGGAAAACTTTATTAAGTTATCCCATTCAGTGATGGACAGCTAAGAGACAAGGGCAGTTCTTAAGGCCATCATGAAGCTGATCTGAAAACTGACTCTAAAATTCTTTATACTCCATATGTTCATTTTTTAAGAACGCCATTCAGTTTATTTTGCTTTGTGCTTCATAGAACGAAAGGAAATATACACCATTTGCATGGTTATCAATTGTATTATGGAAAAGTTCCATGACAAAGTAATATAGGGATTCTTGCTACATAGCATGAGGTGATATCACATGCTCTTTTTATCTGGACTGGGGAAGGTATTAGCTGCTCCAAAAGCTTGTGACCTCAAGAAATGCAGCATTCCAGGGAGATGGCACTTTGTTCAGTTTCTTAGGTACAGCTTTTCAGCAAAGAATCACAGAATATTCTGAGTTGGAAGGGACCTACCAGGATCATCAAAGGGTTGGTTACAGGCACATGCCTTGATGAAGGGTATCTTTTCATTTTTATGACTTAGCATGATTTTGGTACAACACATTTTAAAGTGTGTTGAAAGTGTATGGCAGAGTGGGAAGCCAAAACACCACAATGTGGTATACAGAACTACAATTCAAATTCCATCAAAATAAACTCTTTTACACACAAACCCATACCTTCTCTGCTCCTCCCCACTCCTTTTCCTATTTATTCTTTGGCAGAGTGCAGTAGAGAGGATTCTTTGTGCCAGTGGGCTTTAGCAACCCTCTCAAAATATTCTTTCTCCTGAGCCTACTTTGTGAACATTTAGTTGTATCTGGCCATTTTCTACCCTGATTCTCTTATTTAATGCTACATTCTTTTGGCTGCACTTTGTGATCTGGAGTTAGTATTGTTTATTCTTTCACTACAGGTAGTAAGAGTTGTGGCTGTTGCTTCTCTCCTACCATCTGTTTGCTTCTTTCTAGCTGTGATGGGTTTTTCATGTGCTTTGCAAATAGTCTATCTAATGCTGCCAGACTGTTCTCTCATTCAGTGCCCATCAATAGCTATAATGGAAACAGAGGGCTGTGTGAGGAAAAAGTAAAAAACAAATAAATGTATGATGTGTATGCTTATGAATTGGCCTTCTTCAATCATCATTTTGTTTTGTAATTAAGTGAAACCGAAGCTCTCTGGCAGGAAATTAGGAATTATTCATATGAACAACCCATGAATTCATGATTGCTTTTATTGGACTTGAAGTCCCTTAACCCATTTTTCATATGCTTTTCTAGTCTCAACAGGTGCTTCATCTCACTGTTTTTTCCTCTTTTTTACTTCCTTTATCCACGGAGGAAGAGCCAGCAAGGCTTCTGAGTTGTTTTTTTGCCTTTTTGCACTGTATGACTCATAAAGTTAAAAAAGAAGCCTGAAATTTGGGATGTTACTATTTAAGTAAGCATAGCAAAATAACCTCTTTTAACTGACTTTCAGTAAAAGTGGTCATCAGCAAAACATGAGATGGCCCTGGAGAGGCAACAGTGTTGTGACTAGGCTGCAACATTCTGGAAAATAATTTTTGTCTCTTTGTCACTGAGCAGGTGGAAAGAGCCAGTTTGCTATAGTGCTCTGAAATCAACATGTTTAAGTGATACAAGAGAAGGATTGCTCAAAAATAAAGCCTAGTTTCTTTGAAGCCAGTCCTGTTGCTGTCAAACAGAGCAGACAGAAGCCTGTATTTTGAGTTTATAGGTACTGAAAATTACTATACTGTGTCAGATCTGCACGCATTTTGCATATATTCAGTTTAATAAAATGAGGTACCATAATGAAATTCTGTTTGAAAAGTACTTGGATTAACTTTTAATTTTGGAAGTAATTTTTAAAATGCCTTTTTTTGGCATTTGCCTCAAATACTCCAAACCTTAATTTTCATTTGCTTTCTTTTTCTAGAGTCCTAAAAGTTTCTTCTTGTCATTGAGATTTTTGTGTTTGCCAAACATCCATTGCTGCAGTGTTTAAAACCAGATGAGATGTTTGAGGACGTCCTCATCACTGATACCAGCCATTTCTTTTTTGCCTTGAGTTTTCCCACGTTGCTTCAGTAGCTTGATAAATTTGCGACACTTTTTGCCTCTGTTGTAACTTTTATCTCGGACGCTTTGTTTCCATAGGCTTCCTAGGCACAAGTCTGCATGGCACAGATATTGAGATGTTGGCTCATTGCCTCTCTTCTTTTGCAATTAAGTTCTTCCTTAAGGAACTTTCTGAATGCTGGATGACATAAAACATTGTGATATATATAGAATTCTTTGAAACTTACTGATTGAAATCTGTCCTTCAAACAGAATGTGTCTACAGCTGACATGCATATCTCTTCAGTATCTAACTGAAGCTCACACAGGAGACAAGCTTGTAAGAGTTCTGAAATGCAAGCAAAGCTTATCTTTGACCCTGTGTCACAGAATACATATAGGAGGGTTTTCTAATCCATGCTCTTTTTTTCTCTGCAATATTTAAATTAGATTATCTGTAGTTAATGCTTGCTGCTACCAGGGGACCCTTCCAGGAGCAGAGTTTGGAGACAGCCTCCACTGCTTCTCAATGGGGATCTGCTCTGGGGCTTTGGTGTACACAAAGCAGGGCACATGTACACATGTACACTGCACATCCTGCCTGTGTACCACCAGCCCTCACCCTCCTGCTGGTCCCCAGGTCCCCCTGCCTTTTTCTCTCTCTCCCTGACAGCTCTTTCCCACTGCTGCACAGCCACAGTGCTCAGGCAGACTCATCCTCTCCCTTTCCTCTACTCTCCCTTCTCTGGACCCTGAGGAAATCTCTGTGCTAACAGGAGGTTTGGGATCTGTGTGTAGGTCTGCAGTCAAGCCTGGAAGATGTAAGTGCATCTCAAGTGCATTGTCAGACTCTTGCTGTGACTTGTTGTGCCCCACCCTGGTTAGCATTTGCCACCTTTATCTGTCCCAAAGTGTCTCAAGTCCAGCTGCACATGGCTGAGCTTGTGTGTCTGCCTACATGTGTGGGTCTGCGGGTCAAACTGGGCTGTGGCCACTGTTTAACTCATGTCTAGAAGCTGTATGTCACCATTTTCTCTTAAACACTTACCACTCTCTGCAGTTTTAAATGTTGACAAATCACCTACACTGAGTTGTTCACCGTGATCTTTTCTCCTCATATTTACGGAATTGTTACATGTCCTGACTCAGCTTACCAGCTCCCCCGTGTCTGCAGGAGCCCAGGCTCTGGCAGCACTGAGGACGGCCATGCCTGGGACTGGGCAGAAGCAGCAGGGAGAGCTGGAGCCCAGGGGCGGTCTGTGCTCTCAGCCTGGTGGCTGCAGAGGACTGGCAGCCTGGCTAAGGAAGCTCCAGCCTGGCTGGCAGCTTTGCCTCTTCCATCTCCATTTCTGCTCTTATAAATACACTTGAGTTTAAGTGGACAATTCATTTCCAGTGCTACTGGCTGATACTACCCCTTTGGTTTTTCTAAAGAGGCTGTGCTTAGGAGTAAGTTTCTATAAATTAGCAGGGTTCATCTGCTTCTGAGATTTTGCACTTGTTATTTCAGGTTGTATTTAAAAAAGCATAGGCCAGCAAATGTAAGGCTCATCCATGCAATCTGTCTGTGGTATATCATAAGTTCAGTCAATAATTGCAGGTGGAAAGCACAGGGCCTCAGCACTGGAGCATATTTAAGGGGATTCTGTGGAATTTCTGAGAACATGAGGCTTGCCCCAGGCAATGTGTTGCATAAGGGAGTTGTGCAATGCCAAACTGCCTAAAGTCTGTCATAATTTGTATACTTGGTGTAGTTGCCTTTCTATTCTACCTTCCTTTCCACAGCTGTGGGTTAGAATCTGTACTTACTCTTGGGTAAATGAGAAAATAAGACTTGACACATTGAAAAAGGCAGAGCCTTTCTTTGTGTGTGTGCAGCCTGTGCCATCTGAAATCAGTGACCAGGTAATGCCTTCCAGGCAGTGTAAACTTCAGGAGGTGCACTCAGTGCTCCAGGTGGCCCTTGAGGGGACATTAGGCCTCTTTGAGATCTGCATGAGCAGGTGCACTGTGGGCAAGGGATGAAGATCCAGAAACCATTTATTGTCTTGCTGCTGTTTGCTACTGATAATCAGTGTTTATAGAGTCCCAGCTAGTACCAGGATCACCTTATTTTGAAGTACAGGGACTCCTGGGAGTTAAATGGTTTTGACTGATGCCGTTTGCTACTTGGCTTTAGAGAGAAGAAATTAAAGCCACAGTTGGGATAAGAGGAGTGTGAAATGTTTGCAGGTAAAGAGGAAATTATTCTAAAAGTTTTGGCTCTTGTAATCACCAAAAAAATAACGAATCATAATTTTTGTAAAAGAATCCTTTAAAGTCTTGGTGAGACTTTGATTGAGAAAAAAGAAATCTGAATTTTTAATCTGAACATTCATCAGCTAAACGTTTGTTTTAAACTTTATAATAAGATGGAACCTGTGATGGTGAATCGGGCAAAGCAGAAGTTGATCATTTCACTCAAACATCATGGACCTTAAAGGCAATGCTAAATTACACTGAAGTAATTCCTCTTCTAGTTCCAGTCACAAATGACCTTTTATTGCTGCTTTTTAGTCAAAGCACCTCTTTTAGACTATCTTCATTATCTAGGTGTTGTGATTCCCTGGGGTATCTCTTTCTCTATCATCTTTTCCCTAGTTCCATTTTAATGGATTTAAATACATTTTTAAAACCCTACTACAATAGGTAGTATCATAGATTGTAGTAAATTTGTGGCAGTATGTCCCAGACAAAGTCTTCTCTGCCAATCTGCAAGGATCAAACAATTTGTTTTTTGGATTTCAGTGTCTTTGCAGAGCTTTTGTTGAATTGAGCATTCTCCTGATTTCACTGGAATTAAAATGTAGAACTCTGAGTATGTTTGGCTCCTATCACTTAAAGCAGTCAGCACCATTAATTGGTAATCTTGGGTAGTTAATTATTCTGATCTTTAGGACAGAGTGGCATTATCTGCAGAAATACAGTGAAATGCTTAACTTTCTGATTTTTAAGCCACTCCACTTAACACTTTTTTTTTTTCTTTTAATTTAGAATTTACTGGGCTGAATTTTTACAAATTTCACAGAACATTTTGTTCTCTGATTTAAATCCTGCATACCCAGTGCCTGCCTGGGGCAAAGACAAAAAAAAAAAAAAAAAAAAAAAAGTTAGCTTTGATGCTCTAAAACTGGTTAAATAAATCCTGTGCAGCTGGCCTGCGTGAAATGTGCCCAGTGACAGCAAGCAGCAGCAAGGATTCAGAGGGATAGGAAGATCTCTGTGCTGTCAGATGTTACAGTGCTTTATTGCTTTGGCTGGGAATGGCAGGAATGTGTAGGTATCTCTACTGCTCAGTATCAGGGTGCAAAGTGGTTCCCTCAGGCATGTACGTGGACAAAACTGCTGCACAAGTGTGCAATGTTACCTTCTGTGTATGTTTGTACATGCTCTGGTGTTTTCCAACTTTGGAACTGTGGTTAAAGCCTTAAAGGGAATCTGTGGGTCTGCAGCAGCTGAGAATACATTTCCAGCACTGGAGGTTCCTGTGTGGTTCCTGAGTGTCTGTCCTATCCGTGGTGAGGAATTGTCTAACCTGTACTGTGGTGTTTGTCAAGGGAAATTCTTGGAGACTTGTTTAAATGTTCAAGCCAACGCAGTACCGGTTACACTTGTCTATACTTGTTGGTGAGATGTCAGGGACTATTATGGATTGGAGACTGGTTTTTCTGCCTGTGCTGTTCTCACTACCAGCTCTGTTCATCCAACTGTCTCTCATCACTTTGCTTCTCTTTGTAATATAACCCAGCTGAGACATGGTCCCGAGGGAAAAGTGGCTTAAATCTGAATCTTGGAAAGTTAGGAATTAAAAGATGCATAGCTCAGGAAAATAAATTTTGGAATACAAAGTTATGAAGGCTGTGACTGATTCACATGAGCAGCTTGCAGCAAGGTCATGTTTTCCTCTGATAGTGCATCAACAGGAACTTGGAAATTGTGCTTTTACTCAGATGGTGAGCAGAGTGCTTTTAGCCATGGTCTGCAGTGCAATCGTTGTGAATCCAGCTCCATTCTCAGGCTCCTGAGGGCTTCCAGGTTCTCCAGAAAGAAGCACAAGAGTAACTGCAAGAATTGAGACCAGATTTACAGAATTGACCTCTGGAGCTCAGAATGGCAGGACTCAAAAAAGAAGAAAATGCAGAGACTTTCATTAGTTCAGGTGTTTATAAGAAATACACTAAGAGGGACTTTAAAAAGGGATTTGTATGTATTGGATGGTAAACAGATTTCCAGCAAAATGTGGTAAGAATAAAACTTTCCTTGGAGACAGTTTGGCCAATAGTTTCTGACAGGAGGGTTTTTTTTTTTTTTTTGGTTTTTTTTTTTTTTTTTTTTTTCTCTTGTTGTGTCATTTGTAGGGATCCTACATTGAAATTATGCTCTGTCCTACAGGGACCAGTGGCTTGTGCAAGTGCATGACGATTCTTAGGATGCCTGTGCTAAAAGACTTCTCTTAATGGACCTTGATGAGGTTTGGTTTCATTTGTTCCAGAATGGGATTGCCCTTGTTGCTGTCACTGCGGACTCATGATCTGGACCCCAGGACTTGAGCAGGACTGAAGGACATATGGTAAGATTGTGTTACCTGTGCACAGGAGGATGGTGAAATCTGGGATATTAGCTTGTGACTTTCAGCTGTCTGGTCTGAAGCAAAGGAGAGGTGAGTTTCTTTATTGGTGGAAGATAAATGCAGAGCAAGGAGAAAATGTGAAAAACTTTTAGGAAAACTAAAAACAGAAGAGAAGCAGCACTGAGAGTGGGCCAAAGCTTTTGGTCGTGTATGTGAGCATTACTCATACAACTTCAAGAGGGTACATGCTTTAACTGAGCATGTACCAGCTGAGGACTTGGCCCATAATGTCCTTTATAAAGCTCTGGTTCCTCCCCAAATAGTTTTTCCCTCCCTCTTCAAAGGGCACCTGTTGTTGGTGGAGTTGGTGATGATACTGGATTAGTGCACATGCGGTCAGCCTGCTTGGCCTCGGCCCTTTGGACCCAAAATGAACTCCAGCTGCTGCTGCCCAGAGCAGGTGCTTCATCCAGCCCCAGCAGCTGTTTGAATCATGCTGTCATGGCCAAGAGGAGGGGGGAGCTCCCCTGGAGGACCCAGAGGAACAACTGATCAGCAGCAAGGAAGTGTGCTATGGAGACCTGGTTTCTATACCCAGCAGACAAAAATTGTTCTAGCATTTCCTTGTGGAAGTAGGGAACAGTGCCTGTCACTCTGCATCCACTGATCCTGCCCGGTACCATGATGGATTATGGTTCCCAAAAAGAGGCTGAGGGACCAATAAAGATCAGCAGGGCTGGTTGTAGTCATTGGTTTAAAGCTGCAGTGAGTGACCCAGCAAAAGTGAGATTGGGCATAGAATGGTGCATAGGCTAATGGCCTGCTACCTGTGCTAGCTTGGGCATCACACTTGCACTGCTAGAGGAAGGAAAACAAAAGCAGAGATAATTTGAGGTGTGAAGCAACTACATGGAGCAGTGCCAGGGAATGGAGGCAGAGGGGATGACCTGGGGGTATATGGAGATGTGATGGTGGGAGTTTAAGGTCAGAGTTTGAGGAGGGGGCACAGATAGTTCATGTCAGAGATAAAGCAGCAACAACCCACAACTAGAGTGACAGGGACAGGACAAGGATACTGGTTTTGTGTAGTAAGGGAATCAGAGCCTTCAAAGGGATGAGGGCAGCTTGGAGTAAGGGCAACCGTGACCTACACCACGAGGTAGTGGGGAATACCTTGCAGAGCAGGGAGTCTCACAGGATAAGCTGTTCAAAGTAATTTCCATCACTGGTGTCATAAGCAGCACTTTCCAAGTCCCTTTCAGCATTCCTTCAATTTTTCCCCTTCAACTCTTGTCACTGACCTAGCAGTGGTTCCCATGCAGTCCTGTACTCTTTGATTATTCCCATGCTGTTAACAACAGTGTTCCTGGCCTCACTTTCCAGAAGCACACACTCTCTGGTTGTGTCTGCATATGTCACTGTTGGCATTAACACCAAGTTTGACGTGAATCCTTAGGGTCCCATCATCTTACCTGTATTCATTAAAGGTACCAGAGTCTTTCCGCTTTCTCTGATAGGCTCACTTTGTATCCCCGTCCTGTGCATGTTTTTGTCATATCCCTTCAGCCAGACTTTTCATTCTGTTTATCTTTGCTGATTCCTCAACCAGGTTTTCACTGAATCTCCATAAGGAGGGGTAAATGCTAAGCAAGGATACTTCCTTGTACAGCTGTAAAGGGACTATTCAGGCCAGAATTCATTACAGCATAGCCTAAGAGTAGGAGAAAACATGAATATCAGAGGCCTCTCTTTGTCAGGAAATGGGATTTCCGCAGGTGCTCAGTTGTAAATGCTTTGCATGCCTTTAAGGCTTGGCACATGGCATTGCTGAATCCTGATTCAGGATGCAAGAATGTCTCATGACCCCTGCCATGAAAACTGGTGTCTGGCCATGTTTGGAAATCAGCCGTCGATGATGACAGTAGATGAGTATGGGTGAAATGAGCAGCTTGGCTTCAACACTAAGCAAGACTTGTTAAACATTGTAAATACAGATGTCCAATTCATATTTTGAATAATGAATATTATGAACTTTTCTGTAGCAAGTGGTAAGAAGCTGGATCATCTTTCTTCATCTGCTCACTGCCTTCACAGAATTTGCAAGTGTGACGAACTATTTCATCCCTTTACAGGATTAGGTAAGATTGGTAACCATAATTCATGAGTAGAATTGCACAGAAATAGTCTAGATAATCAAATATATAGATTTAAAGTTACCTATGTGGTGGCAGGGAAATTGTTTCCATTTTGGTTTATTTGTTTCTTGGGTTGGTCAGGTTCTGCAGCTGACTTCAGTTGTTTATTCTTTTGGATGAAAATCTGCAGCTGTACAGGCCTGTACAATTTTTGTCCCAGTGTAGCTCTTCCGTCAGGTATTCCTGCTATTTGGTTTGCTTCTACGTGAAAATTAAGAAACTGGAAAAATAGTACCAGAAGCTCTACATTAGTGAAATTCTCAAGGCTGTTAAAGAAAGAGATGTCTTAGGAGTAGGGTGTTTCTGTATTCATTCTGTTCTTCCCTTGGACAAGTCACTGTGACATGTGGAAAGAAACACAACACACAGCTGTTACCAGTGTGTGATGTAGCTCTGTGCCAGGGGAGATGTCCTCTGACACTCCTGTGGATGTACCAGCAATAGTTCTGTCGTGTCTTCTTACCTACCTAATAGCATGCCTGGGTGATGCCCACACCCACTGATCACCTGGCAGCTGCTACCCTGCCTCCTTCCTCTGCACTTCTCTTCCTCAGCTTCCTTGAACTCAAGATGAATGAAAGTGAGGATTTTCAAATCTTGGTGGAGTAGTAAATTCTTGCTAAAAACCAAACCAAATGTCATTTTCGGAGTGGCTCTGTATTTAAGTGTGGCAGCACATTTAATTTGGTATTCCAGAGGTTTTTAACAACCTACATGTGGATAGGAATTTTTTGAAGCAACTGTCTTTTGCTGATTAAAATGTAATTAGGTACCAAGGATTTAAACCATCCTAAAGGATGTGTGACAATACCCAGTGCCCTGTCTGATGAGGACCAATGGAGTGAAACAGTTTGGGTGTGGTAGATCATAATTTACTAACTGCTGGATTCAGACTAAGTAAATAAAGAGCTTGTTAGCAGGCCTCCACATTTAGGGGATCTGGAGAGTAAAGAGGTTTACTTTATGTGAGGCCCATGTTATGCTGTGCAGGAATTCCCAGTTCAGGGTCAAAAATACTGACAGCACCCTTTCACCAGAGAGCCGACAATTAGCTTGCTGCCAGTAGGAAAAACAGCGTTTAAGTGGTGAGTGAACAGTGTCAGCAATGGACCTGGAGAGAGGGGCAGCACGCAGTCAGAGCCAGTGACATTCTTCACACCTGCTGTGGGGCATAACAGTAGCTGGCTGCCTCAGCCCGTGGCACTACAAGCAGAGCATTGTGCTGTGACACAGCCTGGACAGCGATTGAATTACACACCGATTAGGTCTTCGGCTTCTCCCTGTCACTGTGGACAATGGAGAATCAGAGAAGTGGACATGAGAGCTTTAGCAGGCCTTGTGCTCTCCAGCAGAGGAGGATTAGTTTGTAAATGGTAAATTGTGTTGGGGCCAGGAGTCGTAAAACTGAACTCTTGCCCTGCTGCTGCCTCAAAGGCACAGGCTCTGCAGAAAAGCCCTTCTCCCCTCTTCTGCTAAATGTTGTGATCAGGGGAGGGGTGGGCATATGGAATCTGCTCCTTCTTTTCTCTGCCAAAGAAGGAAGAAGAAACTGTACTTTTGCACTAATTTTTCTCCTTACCATCTCTTACTATCTTTTCTAGAGATAATAAAAGGAAGGGCATGGGATTAAATTGATGAGTGTTCTGTCATTTCCACAGGGATGCGGATTTGCTTCTCACCGAGGTGCTGCTGGCTGGTTCACTGCCTGCTGGAGGGTGTCTCTAAGACCTGATTTAACCTGAAGCATGCACTTCCTCAGGAGGTCTGCAGCAGGGCTGGAGGACTGCAAACACTGCATCACTACCCTCCTGTCCCCTGCTGCCACACGACTGCTGTGCCTGTGCTGTGCTCTCAGCTGCCTCACCCTGAAATGTTCCTCATGATGGTTTGTATGGAGCTACCATGGAGCAGGCTTTGCTTTTGGTGGCAGTATCCCTTACCATGTCATTCATAAAGAAGATGGCTTTATCCTCACCTTTATTCCACTGGGACCATCTGCTCTACACACAGGCTCCAAAAGTGGAAAATCTTCTGTGACCTTTTTTAATTTTCAGTTGAAGCTCTACATCACATGAACTTCTTGGGGTTTTTTGAGAGGTAAAGACTTTTTTTTTTTTTTACAACACCAAATAAAAAACCAAACACCACAGCCCAAGGAACCCAAAACTGATAGGAAAAAAACCTGAAACCCACACATTGAACGCAAGCTGGAGAAATAACTGCATTGTGTGACTGATACAGTCCATGGGAGTACAAAGCATTCCAGTCTGATTTTGCACATCCACTCCCTATACCTATTAATAACTTTTAGGCATGGGCATAGACATGAAGATGGGCAAGAGTAGTTTGCCATGCAAACATTTATCTGGGAGCTGTACTATTTTCTAGAGCTAAAGATTTCAGTGTGATAAAGTGGACATTTTAAAGCATTGGTGGAGATAGGGGGGATGTAACTGCCCTTAAACTGAGGTTGGATTAGGTGTTCTCACATCTTGGAGTCTGCCAGTAAATAGCAAAGTATATGAGCAATGGAAATATGTCCTTCTTAATCTGTAAAAAGAAAAGGACTGTTTTGAAAATCCATCAATCTTTCAAATCGTCTTAAGGCATATTGATCCTGAATAAGCACAGGGGAATTCGTCAGGGGTGTTCTTTTTAGTGATCTAAAAGTATAACTGTGGTTGAATACATCAAAAACTGTATCTTATTCCAGTTGTCTTTATTACTGCAATAAATGATACCAACTCTTTCTTCCTGCAGACTTTATCTCATCTGTTTATAATGCTGGCATTTTTTTTTTTTTTTTTTTTGCTTTGAGCTGAGAAACAAAGTGTGCCTAGATACTGTAAGGTTGTAGAGGCTTTGTGAATATACCATTTAAAAGGAATTGTTTCTGCTCTGGTTACTAGTTTGAACTGAAAAAAGATACTCATATTTCATACTCCTGAAATAAATAGTAGACTTGCTGTAATACAGCAGTTCTGATTAATCTGCTCATAAACGATTCATTCTGGATCCAGAAAACTCCCAAATCTCTCCCATCTATTTTCTCTAATAGGTGGCAAATCCTTAGTAGCTCTCAAAAATGCTCACAAGTCTGCAGGGCATGAAGGCTTTGCTTTGGCTTATTTTTTTGTAAAGCTTGGTATAAAAATATGAATGAGAAATTCAACTGTCATTCAACATAGTACTGGTAACTGAGAGTTCCTTTTCAAAACTGGAAAATAACAACTATTCTAAGTAGTCACTGTTGGTTTTACTGCTATGGAATATTTCAGAGGTAAGTTTTAAAACAAAAAAAGGAAAACCAGTCATTCACGAGTGCCAATGCAGGAATGACAGAGGTTAATACCACTGACATCATGTTGGAACTGTATAGCATTTTGTTAATGGTTATTAATGCCCTGCTGCTGGGAGACAGACAGTGCCAGCTGCCATTAGCGTGGTGCCTCTGCGGGTGTGCCTGGGCCTCTGCTCGGGAAGGAGAGGGCCCTAAGGAAGGCTCAAATCTGCTCCTTTCACTGAAACAGGAGGAGAGACTGCGAGAAGGCACTTGCAGTTCCTTGCTCAGAACAGGGCTTGGAGAGTGAAGCAGGAGCAGCAGACACCTGTGGAGCCATGTCCAGAAGGTACTGATGACTTCTGTTCAATTCAGATCTCCAGGACTAAACTCAAGATGCACATCCTTTGGAAGAAAACAGCTGGAAATGATGCCAGTAAGCCTGGGGAAGAAGCCCAGGTTCATGTAAGAGAACTCAGAGCTTTGTACATCAGTGGAAAGGAGTCGGAAATGCTATAGACTGAAGGAGAAAAACCCTTGAGAGGAAGGGAAAGGAACTTTGTAATGGCAGAATGATGATGGATATGGAGCAATTAATTAGCTTTGACTACATCATATTCATTTTACATCTAGATTTGTGGGTTTAGCTGCCTCACATGGGGCTGGCTATTACTTTGTGTAATACCTTTGAATTTCATCCACCATAAGGGAATGAAACAGATATAGAAAAGTGCAGTATGTCAGTGTAGCATATCAAATTGAGACAGGCATTTTTAGCAGTATGTACTGAACAGTGGTTTAAGCCTGCATTAGATTATTCCATAAGTGTATTGTTATGACAAATCTGAAAGGAGCTAAAAGCATTTCAGTAGGTCAAAAAAGGAAGCTTTGATTTCCTTTCCCACATCCTGGACCCAAAATGGGATTGCCAGCAAGTCTTACATGGCCTGGCTGTGTACTACACAATCACCCCCTGGTGAATGGGAGCAGAACACCTGGAGATGAGTTGTGAATCCTGTGGGACTACCTGGCTCACCAGGCCTCTTCAAATTGTTTAGCTTTTAGATCTCTTTGAATGCTGGTGCAGTGTAACCTGAATAATGCATTGAGAATGTTTAGCCAAGAAATGCCTGATGGCCCAAGGACATTTTGATGTCCTATCTGATGTGCCACACAGACTATTATACTCTCTTTCATGCTAATTAAAAATTTGTATATCAATGCTTATATTTTCTAAAAGGGAAAGTGCGAGTTTGATCCCATGAACCTCAGGTTTGGACACACAATTTAGTTTTAAATGCCATTAATTTTGCACACCCATTAATTATTAGAAATAAGTGGAAACATCTATGCAATATTGTACATGTACTCCTCAATTATGCTGCCTAATATTCTTCAAACACAATGATTTGTACAGACTTTATTTTCTCTGGTCACTTTTACACATAGAGTTGCCCATGTAAATAGTTTGCAGTCAGTTTCCCTCAGTGCAAAGCATGAGCAGCAGGTCAAGGGGAGCAGTTTTTCTACTCTGCACTGCACGTAAATGGTTTGTCTGGTTTTAAGGATTTTCTTTAATATTTTTTCTTTTTTCTTTTTCTTTAGCTAAGTAAAATGATTAATGTTACTCTTTCCAGTAGCTCAGACTTCTATAATTACTGCAAAAAATTTCCAAGGAGAAAAAAAAAGTGTAACCAAACAGACGGACTATTTTGAAGAACTTCAAATTGAAAGTAACATTGGAATTCTGTATTTCTTCAAGAAAATAGACTCTTACTCATTACATTCTAATCTTTGATTATTCTTTCACTTTGTTGGTAGATAATATTTAGAAGAATTTAGAATGGCTGGGACTCAAGCTTGACTTTTCATTTGCATTTCAAACTGGAGCAAATCAAACCAGAATGAAGCTTGAATAAGCTTCTACTCACTCCAGTCAGTGTGGGATAGCCCCTGTAATCTAATGTATGTCTAGGCTTTGTCTCTTGAAAGTTTTCTTCTGGGGGCGAGGAAAGATGAAAATTTGTCTATAATTAACAGTTAACACAGTCTATAATTAATAATTACCAGAGCAGCAATGAGCCTCTAAAAGGTGTTTTTGTCTTAAAGTAATAAACAATGAATACAAGGTAGTTTCTAAATGATAAAATGGCAGTTTGACTTGAGTGGATTTTTTTGGTGGCTTTGGGTTTCTTTGCATATAAAGAAATATGGCAACTGGTATCTCTTATTATGCCGACATGTAACTGACTCTGGAAGCTTGATTTATTGTTTTGGATTTGTAGCTGTGTATATAAAATAATTTCCAAAACCTGTTCTCTGGCAGATGAAGATCTTGCAGAAAAACAGTCAGGTATGTTCCAATGCACTAAGATTTGAGTCCTTTTTCTGGGTCTTGCATTATGAGTCTGTTTAAAATACTTCACCTCTTTAAGGTTTTGACTATGTTGGCATTTCCCTGTAGTTGTCAGAGTGGTGTCTGTCTGGAAGTTAACCACCCTGTATTTGTGTAAACATGAAGTACTTTTCTGGAAACCTGGGTGGAAGGGTTGAATGTGCCATGGGCTGGTTACTAGTGTGTGTGACTGCTATGTATAGAACTATACATAGAACTATTTCTGGCTGTGTTTTGGGGGTTTGAGCTGAATTCTGAGACTGGCTATTGACCCTAATGTAGTGTGTGTGTTTTCTTCCTTTGTGGAAAGAGAATAGGACTTTTGAATTGGTCAAGACAACATAAACAATCAAAGACTTCCTTGTGATGTGTAATATCACTTGTATGCTCAATGTTGAGAAAAGTAACTCTCTAACTTGAGATCATGTGTGCCAAGTTACCTTAACTGGCATTGTGAGAGCAGCAGCAAAAGGCTCACATAATTATTAAATAGACTTTTATGGGTAAAGTGCATACCTTTCTTCTGGAAAGAAATAGTATGTTCACTGGCTTCACTCAAGCAACAGCAAGAGTTTTAGAATCACAGAATGGCCTGGGTAGGAGGGACCTTAAAGATCATCTCATTCTATCCCCTCTGCCATGAGCAGGGGGGACACCTTCCACTAGACCAAGGTTACTCATAGTCTCATAGCCCCAAGGTTGCTCATGGGCTCACAGCCCATCTCCAACCTGGCCTTGAACACTTCCATAGATGGACCATCCATGCTTCTCTGGGCAACCCGTACCAGTGTCTCATCACTCATGGTAAAGAATTGCTTAATATCTAATCTAAACCTATTTTCTTTCATTTTAAAACCATTCCTCCCATGCCCTGATGCAAAGTCCCTTCCCAGGTCTTGTAAGCCCCCTTTAGGTACTGAAAGACTCTGTAAAGTCTACTCAGAGTCTTCTCTTCTTCAGGCTGAACAGCCCAATTCTCCCAGCCTGCCAAATTTCTTTAGTGTTTGAAAAATGCTGAAAAACACTTGTTTTTCTGCCTTTCTTCCCCTCTTCCTTACAAAATGGGATGACTTTGAGTCCTGTTACTCCATAGGAGATACATTAATTCATCACAGGCTCTTCTGTATTAACAGGTTTACAGAGTTGTGTTGCCAAATTGATAACACCAGAGGAAGGTGTAAAAGCATAAGGGAAATATGAAATGGAACTTCTTACTTAAAGGTGCAAACTGCAGATGTGAGCAAACTACAAAGCTGTTTAAACTGTGAAGGAAATTAGGGGAACTGATTTCATTGGGAGCTGAAGATGTTAAATAAGCACCTTGAGTAGAAAGGATGCTGGCAAACACTAGAGATGGGGTTTGGCTGCTGGGGAACCATGTTGTGCTCCAAAGCTAGTTTCTTTTAGGGGGCACAGTGTAGAGTTGAATGGGCTTATAAATATGATCACTTCAGTCATGTGCCTCAAAATAACATCTCGTCAACCTGTACCTATTATAAATAAAGGAGATTAAGAGGGAGAAATTTTAAGAACTTTGTTGGAGTGCTTAAGTATATGGAAACAGCCAAGTGGGTCAGACTTGTCTTGCAAAAAGAATGGTGTAGTAAGTCAGTGTTATAGGCTATCATAAGCATCTGTCTCTGAATCTGCATATATGCCCTCATGAAATTGCAGAATGGGGTTTGTAAGAATTCTAAGATTTTGGTTAGTAAGGCTTAAGGTTGAGGGCAGTTCCTTGTCTTCAGATACAGCTTTCTTTTTAAAACTGAGGGCTTAGCTTCCCCTGCCACAGCCCTGTGGCGAATGGCAGCCTGATCTATGAACTTAAAACACATTTGATCTATATGCTGGTGCTTACTGCCAGGTCCTGCCACTCCACCTGAATAACTATAACATGCTCATAAATCAGGGGAGAGCATTCCTTGCTGACACCATCCTAAATGCCCTACTGAGCTGAAGCCTGTGATAGCCATCAATGCCTCTTACATAAACATGTCATACTTTAAAGTAGGGTCTTGCAAAAAGCACAAACAATACGCTGGTATGGAGGGGCCACACAAAGTCAAGAACTGTTAAGTGGGGGG